ACCTGCAGCTGCTGCGGAGTATTTGCCGTACAGTCACACTTCGCCTGGAGGAATTGGCTTGGTTCGTCTATATGAATAAGATGTTTGAAGCCCCTGTTCCTGTTCCTGGCCATGACGGGCCTTATACTTACACCTCTCTTGAGGTGCTGGAGGAAAGGGTAGATGATGGCTTGCAGGCAGAACATTTCTTGCAGTCTGCGGGATTCGTTCGCAGGAGAGAGACTCAGAAGGTTGACAAAAACCTAACTGAGAAGCTAATATATCTGCTGTCTATTGAAAACAAACATAACGTTTGCAACTTGGTGGCTCGATACTACTTCGAGCACTTTCTCCAACCCTCTGGAGAAGACAACGCCTTCAACTCCACTCCTCCCACTACCAAACATCAAATTCCATATAGTGGAGAAGCATTTAGAACTGGATCTTTCGCACGAGCAGCTGCCCAAATATTTGGTGAATCTGAAATCAATACGAATTATGCAACCATACGCAAGTTGCACCGGATTGCGGATAACTGGACAACCAAGGGTGTGCTGGAGGCTACGAAGCAACAGGAGGAAGAAAACACCTACAACTTCGAAAGGCGGCTGCTGAATAAAAGGGAACAAATGCGTGTGCTGCTTAAAGAGGGCATACCGTACGATGATTTGGTAATGAGTGCATTATTCCTTCTATAATCTACCTGTCACGCGTTTCGCTTGCGGTATGGTGGGTGACACCATGTTTACAGTGGCTGTAGTCCGCATCTATGCTTATGGGTTCGTCACTATGGCCTTTGCAGCAGCAAACATTACACCAGTCTTGGCATCAATTGGCTTTGTAGAATGTGTGGCCGGGAGAAGGCCAAGCAGACAAGTTACTGGGGCAGCTCTTTCCTCTTTTACGTAATGTAGGTCTGTATTTGAACTCAGGCTGAAATCGCATTTTAAAGGATACAGAATGCACCAATCCTTTTACCTGGCCCTGGGTTGCAAACTGTTGTTTATGTTGCGGCGGATTTTGTGCTAGATGGTCCGGAGAATGCGAGAGCACAGACACGAAGTATAGTGTTTCAGTGCTGCCCCGTTTGAATCGCTTATTATTGCGTTAAGATTTAGTTAGAAAGTATACGAGTCCGGGGATGTGGGGCACTTCATTCGGAGCTCCAGGGATGAGGGGCGGACGGACGAGATCGCTCACATGCATTACGGCAACCACGCACAACCGACAAACCCGTAGCAGGTAGTGAAGAAAATCAGCGAAACTGCAAAACCCATTAGGCGTCAAAATTTCAAGAAACAGCCTTTCATTACTAATGGCCTTCTTGAATGCCCTTCTATTCATGGGGTTGGTGGCAGTTCAGATCAGGCGGTGCTCGATCCGCTGTCTCCACTATGCGCCAGTTTCACGAGGGGCATGTATTTCCACATGAGCACAAACACACGTGTTCTACGGTCACAGCAAAAATTATTTTCCTCTGGTGTTCATCTTACCAACTCATTTCAACCCAAATTTACTCGAACTTCGTCGTCACTCTGCCAGCCCAAGCCGTCTCGGTCTCGCTGTTCCCTGAATGATCGTCGTGCACACCTCCTCAATTGTTTTGCAGAAATCCTCACCGAAGGGCGATTACATGTCGTGCAACAGTTCATCTCCATTCGTATTAGATAATGGGAAGTCCGTGGCACGGAGCACGTCCCTCGTTGTTGGAGGACGTGAACCCGCAGCACGGGAGAGCTGAAGCAGCAGAGCGCGGGCTACATAATGGAGCCAAGAACAAGGGATATGCTAGGAAACGCGGAGCTTCTGCTTCCCGAAAATCCAACAGCAGACATATTCGAGCAGCTACGATGTTAGCGGCCACTTTTATGGTGCTGCTGTTGCTCGATGCTCGTTACAGTGTGTCTAGCAGGTTGCGATCATACCTAGAGACACCGCAGCTACCAACGGGAGATGAGAGCGTGCAAAAGTACATGAGTGACTTCACTGAGGCAATGGAAGCGATGAATGAAGCTTGGGAATCCTCAGAAAAGCCTGTACGGGAAGCCTTCGAGAGACACTTTACACCGTCTCTCGACGACGGTCAAGAGCTCACTGGAAACCCGTTAGCGATTATCAATAACCACGTGGCCATGATGCGAGAATGTGAATTCCCATTTGATTCTTCTGTGAATGCACAGAAGGACTTCCTGCAGCACCTGCAGCTGCTACGGAGTATTTGCCGCACAGTCACACTTCGCCTGGAGGAATTGAAGTGGTTCGTGTATATGAATAAGGAGTGTGATGTGCCAGTCCCTGTTCCTGGCCACGACGGGCCTTATACTTACACCTCTCTTGAGGTGCTGGAGGAAAGGGTAGATGATGGCTTGCAGGCAGAACATTTCTTGCAGTCTGCGGGATTCGTTCGCAGGAGAGAGACTCAGAAGGTTGACAAAAACCTAACTGAGAAGCTAATATATCTGCTGTCTATTGAAAACAAACATAACGTTTGCAACTTGGTGGCTCGATACTACTTCGAGCACTTTCTCCAACCCTCTGGAGAAGACAACGCCTTCAACTCCACTCCTCCCACTACCAAACATCAAATTCCATATAGTGGAGAAGCATTTAGAACTGGATCTTTCGCACGTCGTCGACGGGTTTATAAACGTGAATCTGAAATCAATACGAATTATGCAACCATACGCAAGATGCACCGGATTGCGGATAACTGGACAACCAAGGGTGTGCTGGAAGCTGCAAACGAGCAAGAGGAAGAAAATGCTTACAACTTCGAAAGGCGGCTGCTGAATAAAAGGGAACAAATGCGTGTGCTGCTTAAAGAGGGCATACCGTACGATGATTTGGTAATGAGTGCATTATTCCTTCTATAATCTACCTGTCACGCGTTTCGCTTGCGGTATGGTGGGTGACACCATGTTTACAGTGGCTGTAGTCCGCATCTATGCTTATGGGTTCGTCTG